ATGTGTTATGACAGAGTGGCATGGGCTGGATTGAACAGTACTATGGCTAAAATGGGTTTTGATTTGAAATTCAGAAAATGGGTTATGGCCTGTGTTACCTCATCCACTTTTGCCTTTTTGTTGAATGGAAGAGTCATTGGCTTTGTGAAGGCTCAAAGAGGACTTAGACAAGGGGACCCCTTGTCCCCTTATTTGTTCCTAATCATTTCTGAGGTGTTGTCTTCTATGATCAAAATGGCTGCTGACAATGGTTCTTTCAGAGGAATCAGACTTGTGAGAGGTTGACCCACCTTGACCCATCTGTTGTTTGCAGATGACCTGCTGGTCTTGTGTAAAGCTGAGCAGAGCCAAGCTGTGTTGTTGAGAAGATTGCTGGAAGATTATATGGCATTCTCGGGTCAGAAGGTTAACCTCTCTAAGTCTTCTATTTTTTTCAGTAGGAACATTGGGGATAATGTGAAGCAGGTTATTTGTCATCTGCTAAATGGGGTTCAAGTGCACAACTCTACAAGGTACCTGGGACTACCTTTGGGGATTGGTAAGTCGAAGAAAGAAGCTTTTGATTATATCTTGCAAGCAGTGAGGAATAAGATGATCAATTGGAAAAACAGATACCTTTCTCCAGCTGGGAAAGAGGTGTTGGTAAAAAGTGTCATCAATTCCCTTCCTATCTTTTCCATGTCTTGCTTCAGGCTACCTGTGGGGATTTGCAAGCAGATTGCACAGCTTACTGCTGCCTTTTGGTGGAGTAATGGGACTGACCAAGATAGAGGTATTCACTAGAAGAGATGGAGCCTTCTTACTCATCCAAAACAGAAGGGGGGCTTGGGATTTATAGATGTTCAGGTGTTCAATGATGCTTTGATTATCAAACAGCTGTGGAGGATTACCACCCAACCACAACTGCTTGTAAGCCAAGTGATGAAGACTAAATATTTCCCTGACTCTTCTATTTTTGAAGCCACTAAAAAAGCAACAGCCTCTTGGCTGTGGAATAATTGGGTAGAGTGCATCCCTGAATTTGCTGAGGGCATGAGTAGAGAAGTCAGAAATGGTAGAGATACTCTAATCACTGATATTGGGTGGATTCCATCTTGTAAGATGTGTAGGCCTGTGATCACACTATGTGAAGAAGCTGTGGGCTGCAGGGTTAGTGACTTATTGTGTAATGGGGACAGTAGATGGAACTCTGACAAAGTTAAGAGATTATTCACAGATGTGGATAGCCAGTCGATTTTGCAGTTGAATTCTCTTAATCCAACTAAAAATGATCTGTGGAGATGGACGGAGAACAAGAATGGCAAATACTCTGTGGCCAGTTCCTACTTAAAGATGATGCACTGTAAGATTCTTCAACTAGACCAACCTGAAGGTAGCTCATCTGCAGACAGGGATTGGAAGATCATAGATATGTGCTGGAAACTCCAAGTGAAAGGCAAGCTGAAGCACTTTCTGTGGAAGTGTGTGACTGGGAGTTCACCTGTGTGTTCGAACCTGAAATCTCGAGGCTTAGAGGTAGATGTAATTTGTCCCATGTGTGGGGATGAAGTTGAAACTGTAGAACACATTTTTCTGCATTGTAGTAGAGCCAAAATCAATACATATTAATATAATACCCAAAATATCTCTTTATACGATTGTGCTAGCAATCAAAAGGATAAATCAAAGTAAAACCTAATATGCACAAAGTTACTATCGTGCCTCAAGTCTAAGGATTAATCATGTACTATTGTAACATGAAAATTCTTATTCGACATAAAAATTCTCATTAAGAATTTTCATACGGTCATGTTCAGTGAACTTGTTCTCTAACAAGCACCCACATATATGTATTTGCGTCCCACGCTAATGTTGATGGAATGCAACATTCTTGTCCAACAAACATACATCATGTGTGCAAGTCTTTTCCGGATTTATTCGATATCCCATCTCGAAACATCCAACGACTTGGAACTGTATTTAAGATCACAACTTTTAAGGTATGTTCCATGATCACCATCTTTATGCGCAACCATACCTTATAGCTATAAGTGATCTAGGGACTTTATCTTAAGTGCAAATATAAGATAAATGCTTACTCTTAAAATAAAGTAATGCCTTTTAATTAATATAATTCCAATAGATTGTATTTATAAGTGAAATACGTCCAATCCGATTGGAACGTCGGGTATCCTACTCTAACATATTTATCGCATGATAATAGCCCCAATATCACTCAAACAAACAAGACATTTAATTCATAACTCAAGCTCCTCTTATGGCTCCAAAACTAAAGCATGTACTAAACTTTTCAAACTAACACTTAAGCTAATACAATCTCTAAAACAAGCTCATAATCAACACACTTAAAGTCTCATCAATTAAGCCAAAGAAGGCCAAAAACCAATACACATATATTCCTCTTTATCGTAATTAAGCTACTTTAAGCATGCCTTTGCAATTGAGATTTCAACATAAAAATCAGCATAGAATCAACATGTTTCAGGCACCAAAGATAGCCATATTCAGCATCCTTTATAAACACAACATAGCAAGGGCAAATGAATCACATCAAGTGATATAAAGATCAAAGGTGGTATTTGTGCAAAAATGAAAACAAAAAGGTGGGCTTTTTGCAAAACTCCCAAATAAAAACAATAGGCAGACACCTCCGCCAATAAGGAATGAGAAACTTTAAAAATGGCCATTTCGTTTTGAGTGGGGGGTGTCTGCTGTGCAATTTTAAACAGCACCTGCGGTGCACCCCTCCCCACCAGTGGATCATGTTAAGTAACATGATCCACTGGTGGGGAGGGGTGCACCGCAAGTGCTGTCACCGTAGGCACCCCCATCACTTCGTTTTGGTGTTTGTCAATATCAACCATTTCTTTCACAACCAAAACAACAACCGGCAAGCGGCAACGACTTATATCATGATCAAAGGTGGCATTTTTGCAAATAGAAAGTGAAAGGTGCTTCTACAAACTACCTAAAACAACAAAAGACATTGGAAATCACAACTTGCCATGAAAAGGGGGGAAAGTCAGAAATTAAAAGAGACATTGTTACTAATTCCTGCAAAAAGCTATCTTTACCACCAATAGAACCAACGAAACTAACGAAATCGTTGTCCAGATATGCATAACGTTTGCAGGTACTTAAGTTTCGAAACCTAAATCTCATAACTTAATGTACCTGATTCCATGGACAATTGAGGAGACAGAGGATCGGAGGGGAGTGTGTGGAGGCATCTGAGGGTGGAGACGATACTGACCGAGGGCAAGTACGGCGAGCCGATAACCCATTGCGACCGACTTCTTTCTTCAATATTACCAGTTTCCGGCATAGGATCCTGATCGTCACCTCAACTGAAACACAATTTTATTCCTGACTTTCTATAAGTTTGGCTCCCTATAGTGTCTAACATTTGACCTCATAGCAAAAATGATAAAATTAATCCACATTCTATCAATATTAACTAATTAAGTTTTAATTTTAATAAGAAAAATTATACTTCCTCCTATTTTTAATAAGTATCGTTTTGAAAAGTTGTACGAATTTTGTTTTGCCAATAATAACCCCATTAATAAGGATAGAGATAGATGAATGTTTTGAGAAAAAAAAATAAAGAGTGAATATGAAAAGACGCGGTGTATTTATTAGCTATGTGAACGTAATAATGGAAAAATATGTATAAAAGATCCAAACGTCATTTATTTAGTCTGATAAAATCAAAATGACATTTAAAAAAAATAAAATGTAATATAAAAAGTTATATTTTCAAACAACTTGTATATCGATATTATCTAGTAGAGCAAAACTCACGTTTTAACCTCTAGAAAATTACATAAAATCGTCTATTTTATTACCCGAGCTAAACTCGACTTGGCGCGTCAACTAAACGAGCTCATGCTCTACTCATTTATCAAAATAGCTTAACCGAGCTCATTCCTTAACATAGTGCACAGTTAACAAATTACATCCAGTTTATGTAACTCTAGCCACACCCAAGCTCACTAATCATCATCTATGTTTGACCTGTCATTCTCTTATGTTTCAATTCGAGTTTTTGCCGCTTGTAATGTTGCTGTAAAAGTGGCTGTTATAGCTGTAAAAGCTCCTTTATTCTTGATCATAAGAATGCAGAGCTTGTTACAAAATTGATTGATGAAGAAGCTCTGCACTATTGTGCCTCTTACTATATAGTTTGCTGGTTTAATTAGTTACTCCAAGAATGACAAAGGAAACATAAGAACCATGCATTCATGACATTTGTTTGAAATTGATGAAGTTATACAGTGCTAGAACTAACAAGTATTGCCACTAGCTACTATCATACACAGAAATTGGAAGCTTTATACATTCAACAATAACAACAACAACATAGCATTTTTGTCCCAAGCAAGCAGGGGCGAAACTAAAAAAATAGTTAAGGGCGGGCAAAATACATGACATAATGGGTTCAAAACCGATACCAAACTGATAATATTTTGGTAACTGATTTTTGGTTACCCTTACACATAAGTCGGTTCAGTTTGGTTTATTTCTCATTGGGTCGGTTGGATTTTTGGTTTTCGGACAAAAGATACCAGCCCTAGCCTGGGCAAAAGAGAGTTGAAGTCTTTTATATGTGTTAATTAAAATTGTAGAAGGATAATAATTAACGTACAAAATTAACAGTAAAATAAAAGAAGTGTTTAATTGTTAAGAGGGTTACGCCTCAATGAATTTCTCATGTGTTTCATCTCCATAGAACGGCTATGTTTTATGTTGGCTCGCCAAGCCTATCACTCCTCCTTTACCAGGACTTGGGAAGCTTTATACATTGTACTTCTGAAAACTGTTGGCCTTGCACATACATAGTGGGACACCATTCACAAATATACAATTACAACAAATATCGGCTACGTTCAACGAATACAGGATCATCGAACACATTACAGTCGCGCGGCTTATATATGTTATATAACTATATATATGTATATACATATATAAAACTAACACCTATAAATTTCCCTCCTTCAGTTCACGGTCGAAACATGACACGAGCTTGAAGATTTCGGGGACATGATTGTGCTACCGACTCCTCCTGGGGTGCTCTTACCATTGTGCAATTCCTTATTTTCATATGGAGATGCATTAATCACCCTGAATATATATATAATAAACAAATTGAAGTAATCATACGTAAAAATGTAGTCGAATGCGAATTCGTACAATGTCAAAGTATATATACAACTCACCTCTCCTTGCGCTTCTCCAAAAATCGAGCCAGAGACTTTTTTCTAAACTGAGGCACGGTCCCCGAGATCGGCCCCACCGAATTAACTACTTTGGGAGGTTCGATGTTTTGTGAAGACATTACAAGAGCCCCTTGGTTTAAAGCAGTACTACTCGTGCCAACTGGCCAACCGTGCGAAATGCTAACAGGAGCTATAGCAGCCGGGCTCGAGTAAGGCTGACTCGTCACGAAGCCATCAAGAGCAGAAGGCCTAGTCGGAGCTGGGGGCCCGTTGCCGGCCAATAACATAATCGCCTGAGCCTATTAAGTCCACCAATATTGAAAAAAGGTATCATATGAATAATAATGACAAAAATTACAGGACTAAAAAGAAAACACTATCCTTTGGATGAATGTATGTACCTTTTCTGGAGTAATGTTGTCATAAACGCAAACGGCACCATTATAGAAGATAGTCAACTGAGAAGGCCCTCCCGAGACTTTGGAAGCATTATTCCTTATTGTGTCAAACGATTTTTATTTGACGTCTGATTATCAGTCTATTAATGCTTATCAATCTAGTCTATAACTAACTACTAAAGTTGACATAACTTGAAAAGTGTCCTTAAGATCTAGTACCTTATATCAGTTGTCCCAACAACAGGAACATGGCCATTAGAAGAAAGCGCAGCACTCGCCAAATGAAGTGCAGTTAGGTTTGTTTGAGTGGGGACAAGGACAGCTCGAGTCGTGTAATGGAATCCGGCTTGCTGTTGGGGAACAATATCGTTCTATATATATTGCCCAAAAAAGTACATTAAAATAACAACAAAAGATCTAAAAACATGTAGTAAATATGAATTGAAGGTATTCTAATTAAAGATTGAAAAATGAGAGCAAACAAAAGAACATATAATGAATTAATTACGTCCATGGCAGCAGGGTAGGATTTGTGTTCAAAGACAATAGTGTTGGGATTTTCACCAAAGCATAAGAGCTGACTCTGAGGAGCCTTGTTCCAATGCATACCTGATGAGCTTCTCAATGGAGCTACAAATTACATATATATACAACCAAAAAAAAAAAAAATCCAAGCAAATTTAGTTAATTAGATATATATATCAATTATGTAAAAAGATAAAGTATCTAATTTCAACTATCAATCATTGAAACTTGTTATGAAACTTGTAGTATTTCAACTAATTTATTTTATTTTTTTCTCTTTATTACCTCATAAGCAAGTAGCCAAAGGGAAATGAATGCCTAATGATTAATTATGATCATGTGAACAGAAAATTGTTATGAAACTTGTAGTAGTATTTCATTCAAAATTATGTTTCAATTTATGTATCAATTTTATTGTACCGAAAAAAATATGTATCTTTTTTTTTTAAATAAAAAAAAATAAAAAAAAATATGTATCTATGAACAGAAAATTGTATCAATCGTTGGACGGAATGAAATAAAAAATGCAACAATATTAGGTTGAAACGAAAATTTTCCTCGTATATCCCTCTGGTTGTGTTTTGGATGCCAAAGCAAGGAACTCAGCATCTTGGCTTTGGAACTCTTGGATGAGAGTGATGGATATTCACAGACATGGATTTCGAAGAGAGGTGAAGGATGGGTTAAATACTAAGGTTTTCTCTCAACCTTGGGTGGATGGACTGGATTCGGGGATCCCATCTCTCAAACCTGGAATCACTAATACCCAGGTGGTCTGGGTGAAAGAACTTATAGCAGAAAATGGAAGACATTGGAACTCTGAGCTCATCAATGCCCTTTTCACATCTGAGTCTTGTAGAGCTATTCTGAATATGAGGAAATTGGACCCTGCTGAAAGGATAAATGAAGGTGGTTGCATGATAAGAAAGGCAACTTCTCTGTGGGCTCTGCTTATTCATCTGCAATCATGAAAAAAGGTATTAGCACTTGACTGGCCTGGATGCAGCTCAAATAGGCAAAGTGACAAGGAAGCTAGGATGAGGTGCTGGAATTTGAAGGTGAAGGGAAAGATTAAGCACTTCATTTGGAAATGCTTTACTAATAGCTTGCCAGTGAGTGTTAACCTTAGGAAAAAGGGGCTACAGATTGATCAGATATGCCATTGTTGTGGGGAACAAGAAGAGAATGTGGAACACCTTTTGCTTTCATGCCCAAGAGCTTTGAATGTCTGGAAATTGGCTCATGTATCTTGGGACCCTGTGGTGGCTCCATCTTCTAAATTCAGACATTGGTGGTGGGGCATAGCTGCTGTGGGGAAAGCTCTTACTTCTGAAGCCCAGATACAACTTTCGACGTATATTTTATGGTGGCTTTGGAAGTCGCGTAACTTATGGGTGTTTCAAAAAGTCTGGATGCCGGAACAAGTTATTGTTCGTAATGCTTTGAATGATTGGACTGAATTTTGTTCCTTTAGTTCTTAGGTGTTTTTTTTTCTCTTGTTTTCTTGTGTGGTCGAGGCTAGGTTCTTATGTTCAGTGGCCTCTTGTTTTTCGGCTTGGTTGTGGGTTGTGCTGTTTGTACGTCTTGATGCTATAGGTTGCGAATCCTTATATTTGCCTCTAGTTATCGTTTGGGTGTGTTTGTAGACCATCGTTGGCATGGTTCTTGGTGTTCTAGTTTGGTTGTGAGCTAGTCGGCTCTCCGGACTGTTCTATATTTGGATAGTTTATTGGTATGAGATTGTTTTTATCGTTTGGAAAAAAAAAAGTGATAAAAGTGTAGTTTAAGAAAGATTAGATTATGTCAACATATTAATTGTTACATTCATTATATTTATTCTATTATTGTTATTATTATTATTATTATTATTTCTCAAACAACAAACACGAAACAAGTGATCGGAGGATATAAATTATATATAGAATATTGGGGTGCAACTTTTCAAGTCGTGAAGCCTCGTAAGTCGTAGGCCTAGCTAGCTGTAGAATACGGGCAACGTGTTAAATATAAAATTGAATAATTGTGTAGTAGTACTAAGACCTTCTCCAACCGTGCTCCAAATTCAAACGCAAACGCAAAAAATGGCTCCACCCGAACACCAAAACGGAACGCAAAATGGGCTTTTGTCCCATTTTCTCTCACCTCAAACGCATATTTGCGTTTCACTATTCACAAACTCCAACACTGTTTATAAATTACACTTCTTTCCTTTAGTTTGTATAATTAAAATTTTGGTTTTTTTTTTTTTTTTTTTT